GCTTCGCTCTACTGATCGCCTGCACGATCTGCTTCGCAGCCATCTTTCTCGCCAGTTGCTGCTGCCTCTTCTTTGTGCTGGGCGCAGGAGGTGGACGTGGTTGTTAGTTAGACGTAGTACACTGCGCGGAGCGGCGCAATGGAGCACAGTCGGCATGCGCCTTCTTGGCCTTCCTTTCATTTCTTTCCTTCCCTGCCTTCCTCTACTTCATCTACTCCCTCCCCCAACCCCTCCCACATCCCCATTCCATCCCCCTCCCCTATCCCCAACCCCTCGTCCCCCGGTCCCGCAACCCCCCATCATCCCTATCACAATGCACCCCCATCCATAACCCAACCACTACCACCACTCCCCCGCCTTCCAAGGACCCTGGAAGATGTCCCACCCTCTGATGACGCCCCGTGTGGCATGGGGCAGAAAAGCGCTTTAGGGAGCTGCCACGCCCTTCCCGCGATTCGGCGAGATGATCCACGCAGCTGCAGGAATGCGTTGATCTGGAGGAAAGAGCTGAAGCGGGATATCCCCCTTCACCCCTTCCCTTCCCCCCTTTCCCCGCTCTCTCCCCCTCCTTCGCTCCCCTTCCCTCCCTTCCTTTTTTCCTCTTCCTCCTTCCCCGATCTTCCCTTCTATCCCCCTGGAACCCTGCAATCGTTCGATGGTAGAGGTGCGAGGTGGGCGACGTAATTCTTCCCGGTTGGAATAAGGAGTTGGACTTTTTTTTTATTTTCTGAAACATTGCGTTGTTCATGGTGTTGATTTGCAATGATTGCTGTTCTTTCGTCTTTTTTAAAGTACTTTCGATTTTTTATGGATGAATGGGCCAATCTTCTGGAATATTGCTAGATGCTACGCTTTATTGGTCGCTTTTTCCTTCCTGTCTCACAATGGTTGCTTCATGGTTGCCGGTTTTTCGTCTTTCTCCAAGTGCTTTCGATTTTCTACGGATGAATGAGCCAATCTCTTGGAATATTGCTAGATGCTATGCTTCATTGATCGCTTTTTCCTTCTTGTCTTGCGATTTGTCATTCGAATGGACGATGTATGCATTATATGTTACCAATGGTGGTCAACGAAATTGTCACTTTTTTTCGAGCTGTGTTTCGAACGTCTATCTCTGTGCGGTTGGTCTGATCATTGCCCCCTTGCGATACGAAGCACCCCTACCCCCCTCGCTTCTGTTCGCCACTTGCGCTGGATTGGCCGAACTTCACCCGATAAACGGCCTCGTGGTTACCCTCACCACAAAATTGACCTACCGAGTGGCTTTACCTCGCCGCGTTTGAATTTCGCCTCACACGTCTTGCTTTTTGCTCAAGGTGCGCCGACGCTTTTGAGTGGAGTAGCACGGGCATGACGTGTCGTGCTCCTGCGAAATGCATGTGACATGCGCATGCTAACACACTCATGAGGACGTGCTTCCTCTATCGCTGTCGGGGGGTGGCCCCCCCGTCCGCACCGTGATGCGTGTTGCGTTCCTTATACGCCCCCGCGTGAAAATGAGGTGACGATTGTGGCAATGGGGTACACCGAGGACGTCCGATGTTGATGAGGGGATGATTGGACGATATTGAAACAGGAGACGGCTGTGTGTTGCGCGGCTTGTGGTGAGAGGTATTGTGAGATTGGGACAGATGGTGGGAATCTGCTTTGACATTTCTCTACTGTCCGCTTGTGTGTGGTTCTCCCCTTCCTCCGCCCCCCCCCCCCTCCCCCCCTTCCCTCCCCCTCTCCCTCGTGATACTCACTACTTTCTCCCCCGACTATCTCCCCTACCTACCTCCTGATCGTTCCCCCCAATTCCACTTTCTTCCCTGAACCCCCCTCCTGCCCCTTTCTTCTCTCCCCTTTTCCTGTTTTCCCCAATTCATAGCCACAAAGGCCTCCCAAGGAATCCTTCCCCGGCGGATGGTGGAATGAACTTACGCATCGTTTTCCATAGCTCAAGGATTGTGCCTGGCCCGCGAAGCCTACACAGGCCCTGATGACCTGCGTCAACCCTGGGGTCATGGATGCCATAAAGGGGGCCTGGGACACCGGGCGCTTCCCCCATTTTTTCGAGATGCTCTGTTTTAGTGATCTCGCCGTCCTCGCAGGGGCCTGGGAACGTAGTAGAGAGGAATTCGATAACGGATTGACGGTTTTGTGTGAACGACTCGAGATGAGGAAACAGGAGTATACTAGGGAGTGTAGGGAATTGGGGGGTAGGTCTGCAAAGGTTGAACAAATCTTTCTTCGGATATGGGGCGTCGATGACTCACACCTGGAAGGGCGGATCCCCGAAACACAGGGGCAGGCATCGCCCACCATGGGAGATGATCAGGTTACGAGATGCGACGATCTCGCGATCGAAGATGAGGAGAGGGAGGAAATGGAGCACGCGATTGCCGCCATCGCCAACACCATCAGGGATTCCCCCCTCACGGGTGGCCGAACAGTTGACAGCGCCTCGGAACGAGACAGATACACTGCTTTCGCCCCCCTAGCATCCGCGTACTGGGTAGAACACACGTCCACCGGGTTCCGACATGCGATCTGGAAGATGGAGACCTTTAACCACGTCGCACCAATCTCCATCAGGGCACTTCAGTTCCTGGGCAACATCACAGACGCACAAGTCAAGGATTGCAGGACTCAGGAGCTGAAGGGTAAGCTGAAGTTCTCTGGGAGGGTCCCCCCACTGGATCCCCAGGATCTGAAGTTCCCGCCCATGCATGCCTTCGATCCGGACAAGTGCGGCGAGACGAGCTTCGGGATGTGGCAAAAGGCGATTTGGCAACAGGATAGATTAGATCCGAGGAACATGAGAAATATATGGAGCGTGGGTAGACCCTATCTCAAATGCAAGTGTAAGAAGGAGAAGAACAAGGACTGTGGGGACACTCCGCTATGGTTCGACCATGCCCTATGGTTCTTACTCGCGCACCCGGATGTACTATTCTCGGACATGTCTTCGATTAAAATCAGGACGTCAATGCTGATTCACTACCTCAGAATCACGTGGAGGGAGGGTATACTCGCCGCCATCGCCTTTCACTTTATCAGGGATCTGATGATGGGCTTTATCAGGGAACTGGAGAACGACGCCACACTCGACACGGAGGGACTGCTGAAGGACGACCGACTCTGGAATTACCCGATCCTCGCCATGCTAGCACGGATCATGCTCCCCACGCGCATCCCCGAGAAACCCACGAGATTTCCGCTCAGCTCTCCACGTGTGATGGCCTGGAAGAGAAACGCGGGCGTGCAAATTCCGGGCCAGACCACGCTTAACTTTCGCAGAGTGACGCCCGTACCCGGCGGCTCCCCCCCNNNNGAGAGAGAGAGAGAGAGAGAGAGAGAGAGAGAGAGAGAGAGAGAGAGAGAGAGAGAGAGAGAAAAAAAAAGAGAGAGAGAGAGAGAGAGAGAGAGGAAACAGTCTGCCACAGTCATGTTTTTGAGTGTACAGCGAATATGACGACAAAAAAAAAAAAATTATAAAAAAAACCTGCAGTGTAACAACAACAGCCCCGTCCCCCTGTTCGTCCCTATCCTCTGCCGCAGCGTAGCTGCGGCGGGTCCACTTGTATATATATAAACAGAGCTGCCCGGTAAACCATAGGCAGAGAGGGAGAAGAGGACAACAAACGAGGGGCTGTGACAAACTGTTTCGCCGGAGTTTCACCGACTCATCAGGAGGTTGAGCCGTCAATAGTTTGCAGAATCCCCTAACTACTTCTCTATAGGTGATAGTCCACCTTCGACATCAATGACTGCCCGACAACTAATACCCTGAGGTGGGCACCAACCACAACCCTCAAGGTATCTGTGGCGAAAATCAAAGCAGACTATCACTCACTCACACCAGATGGAAAACTTTATACACTGTCAGTTCACACCCCATCACAAGCAAGCAAAACACCCACGAAATTGTCACATCCAAAAAATACACGCCACTGGCACTAGAGGCACAACATGGCCTCGTAAGGTATCTCCCTATTAATTTTGAAGCCATTCTGTTCAGCCAAAAAAAAATGAAAAATCGGCAAAGATGGCAGTGCCAAAACTTGCTTGCCCACTCACTAATTTCATTCTTGTTTGATTTTTTCTCATTTTCATTATTATTATTTATTTTTAGTATTTGATTTTTATTTCAAATTTGGAAAAGAATTTGGATGTAACGTTGAGGCAAATGTTGTTTAGTTTATTCTTCTGTATAACATATAGTTTTTTCAGATTTTTTTTTTTTTTTTTTTTTTTTTTTTTTTTTTTTTTTTTTTTTTTTTTCTGTATAACATATAGTTTTTTCAGATTTTTTTTTTTTTTTTTTTTTTTTTTTTTTTGTCCAGGTTCGGCCGAACGGCCGAACGCGTCAAGAGGGGGTGCCGAACGTTCGGGCGTTCGGGTTCGGGGTAACTCCTGTCTCTTATACACATCTAGATGTGTATAAGAGACAGGTGCTTGGTACCACGGCTTTTGCTCCTCTCTCCTCCCTTCTCCTCCTCCTCCTCCCCTCTCCTCCTCTCCTCCTCATTCATCTCCTCCATCTCCTCGCGGTGTCGTCCTTTCTTTCTTTTCCCATAGTGTTACGGACTCCGCCAGGGCTTGATCCTGTCTCTTATACACATCTAGATGTGTATAAGAGACAGGCGCCCACCACCTCCCCCTCCTCCTCCTCCCCTCTCCTCCTCGACCGTCTCTGCACAAACGCAACCCGCGGCGCTGTCCACCAGACTGCAACAGATCAGCTGCGTTGATCACCTCCGCACCTCGCTCACTGCGAACCCACAATTACGGGCAACCGTGAATCGTACCCTCACCTCCCCACTCCCGCTACAACCAATGATGATGATCAGGGGGCTCACCCCACCTCCTGTCATCCTCCTTTTGCTGGAAAACTCGGCACAGTCGACGATTACCCAGACTGGGAGGAAGAAGAAGGGTGCACAGGGTAAGGGCAATACGAAGGCGGGCACCTCCGCCGGCACGCGAACGGCACGTGCTTGACCTCTTAATTCCCCCCTTCCCTTTTTTATTTTTTCTCCCCCTTCTTTTCCTTTTTCCTTTTTTTCTTTCTTTTTCTCTCTCTTTCTCTCTGATCGTGCCGTCTTCTTGAATGATCCTGCTGCCCCATCACCCCTCTGAGATTCACTGTCCCACACGACACGACCCCTGCCCTGTGATTGTGACTTTCGGAGCGCAGGACCCGAGCTGCTGTGTCAATGCCCCTGGGCAGATGATCACGTTGCCAACGGGACGAAGGTCTTGGAAAAGACAGAAGTCGGATTGCGACGTCTTCCTGCATCTGAAGTACACCAGCAGGGTGATGGAACCTTTTTCCATCAGGAAAATGGTCAATGAGATTCTGGCGAGGATAATCGGAGATGACACGGCAACGTGGCTGGAGTGTACAATGATTGGATGGACTTATAACGCCAGTATCGCATCCAGACTCTGCAGACCTGTGGAGGTGTTCTGCGACTTCGACGTGGCGCAATGGATGGAGGTCTATGATCCGGAGTTGTGCCCATGCAGATCACGCAGGTACGCGGACATGCGCAACCCTGCCTCTCTGAATCTACTCCAGTCTGAACGACACACGCACGTAATCATGCTCGACTCATCGATCACGGATAACCCTCTACTGCAAGGGATCATTAACTCAGGACTGAACCACATCCCCTGCATGGCTTTGGATGTCGACGTGGCGGAGAACGAGGTGGGCGATTTCCTGGATCGGCTCATGACAAGGGTGTTGGAACTGCGGGAGCTCACAGCGTCCTCACAGTCATTTCTGCGAAGGGTGATTTTGAGGAGGGCGAGAGCGAAGATGTCCAAATACAAGGAGCAACACAGACACGTTTCTGTGGAACCGTTCGAGCATTCTGCGGTAAAACGGGAGCTGGAATTTCTCGTTGGGCGCTTTCTCATCTGTCCTACCCACAAGGCACCGAACACTCCAGTGTTCGTTTGTAAGAACTTCATCCGAAAACTTGCCTTCCATAGGCTGTCCGGACCGGAGTTTGCGAGCATCGCCGCCCCCCCTGCCGCGGTGGTTACACGGATACAAGGCGGGCTCTCGGCCTTTCCAGCACTACCAATGGCACCCCTGGCGCTCCCATACCTGATGGCGGTTTTCAAGGCGCACAAGGGCGCATTCCGGTGGATCACGAACACAGTCGGCATAGTCATCTCCCCGGCGGCGGACCTCTGTGCATGCCTTATGCGATTCCTTCTTCCCCTAGTGCAGACATTCTGTCAGGAGAGAAGCCTGGAGATGCAGGAGCAGTATGGGGTGAGACCAAACCTCTGGTGGTCGATAGCCTCGGTGGGGGAATTCTGCGCAAACCTGACGGAGAGAATCTTCTTTGTTTTCACGGCGGACATCACCAAGTGCTTCGAGACAATCCCCACGGACAACTCAGAAGACGGCCTACCTGCGACGGTGAGATTCTACGTGCAGAGTGCGATGCGAGTGAGGAGGGAGAGGAGCTCATGCCACATTGTTCAGATCAGATTGGGAGATGACGGCAAGTGCTGGCCTTCGTGGGTGGATGCCGATGAAGCCGAGGGGATGGGCACGATGCTATTCAAGGAGGAGGACATCTGCTGGCTTTCTGATTGGTGAATCGCCAATAGCGTGCTGCGCATGGGGGACTATGTGTGGAGGCAGGTCAGAGGAATCCCTATGGGCCTGGCGTGTTCCCCAATCTGGTGTGATATATACTTCTTTAAGTATGAATATCACGCCATGATGAGATTGGCAGACACCGGCAACGCCCATCTTGTCCCGTACTTCTCAGACACCTTCAGATACATCGACGACCAGAGCGCGATCAACAACACCATCATCAGGAGCTTTATGAAAGCGGACAGAACGATGGATGACCCTTGCTGGATCTATCCCGCGGAGTACATCGAGCTAAAGGAGAATACGGAGGTTGTCGTGGACGGATGCGGTCGCAGGGCCAACTTTCTTAGCCTGACCATTGCGGTCACCTCTCCTGAGGCTGGCACATTCATCACCTCTAAGCATGACAAGCGGGAGGGGTTGGGGTTCGCCCCTTGCAGATTCATCAAGTACAAGTCTAATAGATGCACCAAGCAGGCGCTACAGGTCATCACAGCCCAGGTAGCGCAAATCCTACTGCTATGCTCCGAGCCAAGTGATGCGGCCACAAAATTCAACAAAGTCGTGACTACGATGAGAGGCAATGACTTTGCCAGGGATGCTTGCTGGGGGACGGTCAGGAAGACCTTGCGGCATGCGTATCGCTACCAGCCTGGCAGGGTCTCTGTACACACAGTCAGGGAGGCACTATCCGATATGTATGGCTTCACGGACTAACCGTGCGCTCCTTGTGCGTGCTTGTGTCTGTGTATGTGCGTATGTGTGTTGGGTGTCCGGGGGGCGACTGGCCGAGTGGGCCGGCTGTCCTCCGGGCAACCACCCTCTTGGTACAGTTCATCCCCCAGAGGGAACGGGGAGGGACACACACACACACACACACACGCATACAGAGGATGGGAGAAGGAGCGACAAGGAGCAGCCGAGATAGCTCACGAGTCCTTGTTGGCTCTACGGACGGATCCCTCTCCCTCTCTCTCCATTTTCCCTTCTGATATGGCTGCTTACCCGCCTCTGTCTCCCTCTCTCTCCCCCCTTTTTTCCCCCCTTTTTTTCCTTTCCTTTTCTCCTTTCCCCCCCCCCTTTTTTTCTTTTTCTTCTTCCTTTTTCTTTACCGATTCCCTGACCAGGTTCCTTGAGAAGACTCGGAGAACCCCCGGACGATTCGGGTACCGGCCAAATGGTGAATCACGAGAGCAGCCCGCTCCCAGGATATGTCGAATAAGGCACGGAGTTGGGGTAATTAGTAGGCGCATGATACAGTAGGATGACTAGGAACTGATCGTGGGATTTACGACCCTGTTTTCTTCTCTTCCCTTTTTTTTTTTTTTTTTTTTTTTTTTTTTTTTTTTTTTTTTTTTTTTTTTTTTTTTT